CAGAGAAAAGAGATCTTCAAGTCACCATTAAGAAAAAGGATCTTTATATGAATCCATGAGTCTGACAGCTGTGTGATGAAAACTAGTTAAAAATCAATAGCGTATGGTATTGAACAGACTGCTAAAGGACTCTAACTAGAAATTGCATGGCTTTTAACCACCAAATAACAAAAATATTAGTAAAGTATGTCATGGTTTTTCATTTCCTAAATGTCCTTACTTCTAATATAAAAATATTAAAATAAAATATTCAGATCTGATTTTTAACTGATATATACAGAAAGAGTAGATAGAACACAGTATATTGATTGAATCAAAATTTTTTCAAGTAAAAAAAAATTATGCTTAATTTAAGTCAATCTTCCTAGTTCACATTAAAAAGGAAAGAGACTGGTTCAGACACTACAAAAAACAACTGTCACCAAACTTCCCTGTATATGTCAGTAATCTTTACTCCTTCTGTAGGTGAGGAGGTTATATGGTTCATCACCCATTCCCTACATCTTTTAGGGAACCCCACCACTCTGTCTTCAACTAAACAATTTTATTTATTAATTTTTAGAAAAGTATTGAATGTCCTTACACAAAGTTATGATAGGTGCCAGAGCAAACAAAGATGATCTACACAGGGTCTACACATAACTGTAGATAATTAAGAGCAGAATTAGAAAAGTTTGAATACAAAGTTTGGACTTCTTTCCTTTTTCACAGACAAGTAGTGAATAACTGGTACTAGCCAATTGATTCCATTAACACCTCACCATTCAACAAAGCTATGATCCCACTCCATACTGTTACCTGAATTATTGTAACACCCTTCTCTCACAGTGTGAAATTCCAAACTCTGTATGTCTTTCAAGGTTAAGTTGTAGCTTCTTATATTTCCTCAGTTCCCATCTTACCTCACTAGAATTAATAAATCCCTCAGAATAAAAGCTATTCTACTGTACTAAAGCTTTCTATGGGACATTCTAGTTATCTCTCAATGCCATTTTTGAAACTGGTGGGAAGTAGTAACCTCTCTCTCCCCAGATGGATTAAACCAAAGAAGTATGTAGCCGTACTGCTACCCTGTGGCCATAACCCTGTCTTAAGGAAGAAGCTAAAACCATGGACACAGAGTGAAGAATTGGGAAGAATCCAGGTCCTTCATGACTAAATGAACCAGCCTGAAAGCCTATCTCTGCACTTCCAGTTACAAAAGTCAGTAAATACCTTTATTCTTAAACTAGTTGGTATTGTCTGACAAAGGGAAGGGTCAACAACAATCCAATTCCTCATGATGTTAAACACCAAAATTTGTTTTGCAGAACCACCTACACTAAGACTGGATAAATGGATTGACATTTACTTTACAACTAGAGGTCACTAGTATTCATTAAAAATATATAAAACTATTAATAATACTTATGTTCAGAGCATTTTGATAATGGCTAATAGTCGACACTAAAACTTAAAAATCAAACCAGCAACAAAGACAAACAAAAACCTGTGCTTTTAACATTAAATAATTTAAAATGTAACTAGAATTTTATAGATAAAAATAATAGATATAAAGTATAACAGTGGGGAATAAAAAATGTCAGTTGTAGCAATAATAGATATAAAACATAACTAACAATGTGAAATAAAAAATGTCAGAGAATTTTATAAAAGTTTATTGTGGTTCTGTTGGTTAGCAATTACGCGGGTCTGTGATTCAGACAGAAGAAAAAAAGGAAAAGATTGCAAATGAGGTAGAGAATGAGAATCTATAGCATAACTTAGACTACAAAGTTAATGTTTTTAGTTTAAAGCTTGTAAACACCATTTCCACCTGTATTTCACATTTTTACACTTCAATTTTCTAGGAACATCAAGCAAAAACATCTGCTCTTCATCTCATCTCTGTAAAAACTTCTTTGTCAATAAAGATCGGCTTCCACAAGCTGAAGACGTTATCATTACTCAAAATGATCTGGAAGCAATGCTAAAGCCATGACAAAGTAAATTCTATTTCAGTATACTTTATTTTTCTTCCTCTGGCTGTGGGAACACAGATCAATACTCTTCAACATGAGAATTTTGCAGTGAAATTTTTATTTGTAACAAACAGCAACAAAAAAGCCTTAAGCATGCCATGTCACTTTCAGTTTAGGAGAAAATGCACTAATAAACTCTTACCCTTGGGTCATCTTTGACAACAGGCAATACTATGCCAGCTCTTATTAAAGACTATTCATATCACTGCCCCCAAAATTTCCCTTAAAATTACCATCTTTTGTATCCATGTAACATGATGTCAGCTTTGAAAGTGCCAATGAGAGACAGGCTCTGTCACCATAGTTAATTCTTAGCACTAGGTTCAACACCAGGACAGCTGACCCCCCAAAGGGTGTGTTTTTTGGATAGCAATATTTATTTGGTGGTTATCCAGACAAACCAGAAAATATATTGCTCTATATTAGTTTTTAAATACAATAGCAAGCAAAAGATCACCTGTAAATATTAGATATATAACAAACTAAAATATATTGAAAAGAAAAATAAAACTGCAAAAACTATCAAAATATGTTCCTAAAATGTTAGCAGACTCTCTGGATAGCATATTGAAAGTATTGTCATATTTTAACCCAACAGGTATGATATAAAATGCAAAGCAAAATATATGATAAATAGCAGGACTTTTTTAAAAAATATAAAATAAAGGAAAGAAAAAAAGCCAAAATTGCCTATAAAATCAGAATTCTCTATTTATAATTTTATTGAACACGATATTTATTTCACAAGTAATACTCCTAGAATAGCCACAATGTAGACACCAGGTTAAAAAAAAAAAACAAAATACCAACACTGATAAAATGGTTAAATCTACTTGTCAATTTGGATAAACAAAGGAGATCCAGTAATGATAAAAATCAACCTCTTAAAATAAACAGCATATGAAAGAAGAAATTATATCTATAAAGAGAGCTCCTAGATAAAAACTTCAACTTTGCCCTCTACAACGGTCACAGGGCCATGTCCTCAAAAAACAATTATAAGTATATATAAAATGTTAAGTTGTTCAAAACCATTCTAGCTGCACTATTAAAAGCTGCCATCTCCTTCAGTGGCTGTATAATGAATGCACATACAGTACACTGCGCAGACACAATGAGCGTGACGACTAAGTACACATCTATAGACCCAGCATATTAAACACTCTGGCAACTACCCTGAGATGCCTTCAGGCTTTTAAAAGTAGGTTCAGGTGAGAGAGATGCTGAAATGGAGCTCAACAAAGATAAATATACAAGCATTAATGAATAGAAGATAAACTGTCTTTCTAACCGAACCCTTGAGTCAAATATTATCACAATTTTTTATTATTCAATTAATTGGGGCTGTGATTTCATGAACTTAAAAGCAGGTGATTTGTGCTGGAGACATGAGAGGCATTTCACTGAAAATAGAATCATATCAATATACAAAGATGAACATTTTTATCGATGAGCTATAGAATATCTCATGACAAAAGCATTACAAGAGGTTAACGGCATTACTTAATAAAGTTAATATGAGATAAAGCTGTGGTGGAAAAGAATGCACCCAACATCAGGAATCAAGAAACATGGGGTTAAATTCTGGCTCAGTCAATTATTAAATCTTTGTGGCTCTGGGCAATTATGAGATAGTCTGGAATTCAATTTTTTTCCTTCTGGAAGTATTAAAGGTTAAAGTATTAAAATCAAGTAAATCTTGAAATAGTGTATGTAAAAGACATCTGATGTCAAGGACTATAAAATATATTAACTTGAATGTGGATGCATCTCATTTTCCTTCAAGCCTCGGGGCTTTGACACATGTCTTACTCTCTGTATAATGGCACTTCTTTCTCTTACCCCTGCCCATCACAGTTACACCCCTCACCTGGGCAGCTTTTTCTCAACCATCAGATCCTATCTCAAACAAAAAACTTACTCACAAATGCCATTGCTGATGCCTTTGATGAATCTCAATTTAGTTTAGATGTTTTTGTTAGAATCTGCCAAACGTCTGCTTGAAGAGATTTACAGGATTATAATTATTTTAATTTGTGTCATTATTGATTGATGCTCGATAGCCTATTGAACAAAGCTGTATTTCCTCTAGTTTCACATGCAGATGTCCTCATTTTTTAGGTTTCAGTTCAGTTGTCACTTCCCAAAGAGGCCTTCCAGATCTCCTTAACTAAAATATCAATCCCTGTCACTTTACGTGTTTACTTTTCTTCATAGCAGAACTCAAAACTATATTTTCAATACCTTTCTATACGGTGTGCCTAACAAACCTGAATGCTAAGTTCCATATGGGCAGGGACTTTGTACTTTATTTAAAATTGTATCTCCATAACCTAAAACAGAGTATGGAAGAAAAGTGGGACTCAGTAAATTTTGAATGTGGTATACATTGTATATCTGCACTTATTTTCCAGTAATCACCTCAGATATATACTGATATGTCAGAATCTCTCACAATTCCTCTAGTAACCTTAGTATCCAAGAATATTAATGAAACCTCTCAGCGAGTCTAAGATGCTATAGGGGGCCATAATTCATAAGCAACCACACTGGGTTTTGACACCAGTAAAATTTGTCTACATGAGGATAGAAACTTTGACCTTCACTTCACTACCACAACGGTTTGAAGAACAAATGTTATATCTGTGGAATTATTTTAAAATGGAAAAATGAACCTAATATTAAAATGTAAATGAGATGACAGCAATATTGAACCAAGTGTTTTATGTAGCCAACCCTATTAGAGCTTTTAAGAGAGATTTCATTTGATGGAAAACACTTGTTGAAAACTTGTTTGACGAACTATACAACCAGTCATAATTTTACCTTAAGACATTATCAGAACTTCTATAATAATATAATTTTGTGTGACTTGAAATCAAGAGAATTAGGTTTAAAAATCATACCAAATATTTACAATGTTGCTTTTGTTACAATAAAGCCATACAATTTCATGTAGTGAAAGCAATTTTACTTTACCTCTCACAATAAGTTGAGCAAAATTGGACACACCAGAACCTCGTTCTGACTGAGTTACGCAGCGATACAAATCCTGGTCAGTTTTTGTCACTTCTTGCAATCTGAAGGAAGCAGCAAATCTTCTGTGATTGATGTTCTTAGTCTGGGCTACTGGTATATCTTCTCCATTTCGTCTCTGCAAACAGAAATCAATATTTGAAAAACAGGTTCATAACATTCTAGAAATCTAAAGCATCCTAGCAACTAATACCTGTTATAAATTGTTCTTTTTGTTAAATTAGCAGGAAAATGTCTGCGTAGCGCCCACAAGCTTTTACTACTGTCACTCAATCAGGAAAATTATGTAGGTAAATACTGGCATCCTTTAAAGGTTGTAGTGCAGACAACACCATGGCAATGATCTCAGTTTTTCATTAAGTTGCTATTAGCACAGGGAATATGAATTAAAAGAACAGTTCATTGCTTCATGGTAAATGATTCACAGCTCACTTTCTCCCAGAAAATATATATGTATGAGCTTCTTTTAGCCCTTATACTATACTATCTGTGATAATAGGTTTATCCCCACCAGGAGATCAAGACCATGCTCGATGCATTTAAGTATTCTAAATATGTAGCATGCAACCTCCACAGAATGATGAAATACTGATGAATAATTTAAAGTCAAAGCAAAATCTGTACTCTTTGCAATCCTCTATCTCTTTGGCATTAATGACAGAGAATTTTTACCATTTAAGAGAAGTAATCAAATGAACCTAAATGTTAAAAGCTTATCTGTCAATTTTCAAAATAAAATATTAGGAAACATCTTTATGATATCTGGGTGACTCACACAAAACCAATAAACATTAAAAAAAATGGTGGAAAAATTCAACCACAATAAAATTTACTACTTCTATATGTTGAAAGACATCACAAATAAAGTGAAAAAAAGCCACAAACTGTGATAAGATATTTTTCCTGGAAATAACCATCAAAAGATAAATAATCAGGTTACATAAACATCTACAGTTCAGTAAAAAGAGACAAAAAAGCCCTATCAAAAAATAAACAGGCTATAAAAAGAGAAATGTATATATCTAATAATTGTAAAAAGAAAAACTTCAACCTAAATTTTAAAATTTCTATATGTCAAAGATAGCACAAAGAACAAAGAAAAGCCACACTATGGGAAATAAGTAGTGAAGATACTCAACCTCATTTCTTGTTGATGAAATGCTAAGTATCCCTGGTATACCTTCATACTACCAGATATATGATTTCATACTACTAGATATGGGAAACAAACACCCTGAAATTACTAGTGAAAGTGTAAACTGATATAGTCATTTCAGAAATAATTGCTTACTGTCTAGTAAAGTTGAAGATGCATAAATCTTAGGATTCGACAATTCCACTTCTGCATTTCAACATTTGAATCACTCTTGTATATGTGATCAGTGAGATATGTACAAGATTGCTGAACTCACAATAATTTGTAAGAGAGAAATATGGGAAAGATCAACATATTCCTGAGTAGTGGATAAATAAGATTTATCCATTCAATAAAATACAAGGTAGCAGTAAAATGAAGACAGTTAAAACCAGTAGTTTTGGTGAAAACTTTGAACATCTCGTTAAAAATATAAAGTAGTGATTTCTACCATTTTTCAATTTCTGTGATGTAAATACTCCTACTATAGTCACCTTCAAAATATCAGTGTAATATCATTTGGCTCTTAAAATTCTTGAAAAATTAACAATTGGCAATCACAAGACAGCTCCCGTATTCCACTGACTTGAAACACATGTAGGCATATTTAAATAAATTTTTTAAAAATTCCTTAACAAAAATTAAGATATGAATGAAAACAAAAATTTCAACATCTATTAAATTAGAACAGTGAATACATTAGGGATCATTTATTGTTTTCAACAATTTTTTGTATGTTTGAAATACTTTGTATTTTTCAATCAAGTAAATAATAAAGAGAACACTTTATTACTTTAATAACTTTTTAAATCCTTAAATTCACTGTATCTTTAATCACACTTCTTTATATCTGAAATATGATACATATATTATGTAATATATGCATGTATGTGTAGGCAAGCACATACATATATATTTAAGAACACAAAGTAAAAATTATGATTTTATGATATTTTATTCATTCTGTATTCTGTTAATTAATTATCTTACCCAACCATTCCATGATTTTTATACCAAGATCCCTGATCATTCCCCTGGATAATAAATAATAAAGAGAAAAAGCAACTTATATTCAAAAGCCCTGACTTCTCTAAACTCATAGCTACCTACCTATCCAAAATCTTTACCTGAATGTCTGTCTATCCAGCATCTCAAACAGAAAAACCTCAGGCAGCATTTTTTTCAATTATCACATGGTTTCACACAATCTTTCTACTAGGAAGGTGGACCATAACTCAGCATGCCTTACAGCCGTACACACTCTCACCTCATATTCCTACTTTATCCCTCCAGTTGTACTCTCAACCTTTTGTCATCTTTCTACCACTTATGCACTCAGTTCTGCAAAGCTAGCCAATCTCTGTTGCCTGCACTGCCTTCTAAATTGTCGTGTGCAAGCACACACATACATCTTTTAACACCACGCCTTTCAAAAATCCATCTTTTCTTGTGAAGAGATTCTAAGTACTCAGTTTCCCTCTTAATAACCATTATTCTATCTTTCCATCTTAATCAGCATTCATTTCACAATATCACTTTGCTCCTAACTTTTCTCAAAGAAGGATACATTTTCTTCTATCTTACCTGCATTCATGAAGGATCTCCTTATTCCAGTTCCTCACTTGCGAACCACTCTTCCACTATCCCACTCAACAATCTCTCAACTTCTGGGATCCCCAGCATGCCCAAATGCTATTCTCATCACAGTTATCTACCAAGACAAATTATCCTCTTCACCACAGTCCTGTAAATAATCTCAGTGATCCCAAAATGGCCCTGGTCACGATGCCATCCAATAGCCTTCCTTCATATCCTATTTCTTGTAACATCCAACTTCCCATGGTATGATAGTTACCATCTGATTCTCAATTCTTCTTGTGATTCTGTGTCCCATTCCTTACACCTTCATCATTAACACTGAGACATCACTTTCTGACCCTTTACTTTATAACCATCCATTTCAAAGAGGGTTTCTTTAGCCTGAAATAATTCTGGATTCTTTTAACTTCCCATAGTTTATGCATTGCCAATATAAGATTTTAACTTTTCTTTTCTTTTTTCTTTTTTTGCAATTATTCTAAGACAATTATTGACTTTTGCTAGAATCGGTCATTTGCTCTCATGAAAAATTTGTGTTATCCAAGAACAGAAATGAACTACTCCTAGACATTCCTAGCTGATCCCTAGAGCGACTTAAGCTATGGTGGTGTCTGGCTCCTTGCTCTCTATCTTCACTTCGCATTCCAACAATTTGAATATACTCTGTTTTCCACTCCCACTGACACTATCATGGATACTGCCTCAGAAACTCAAAAGATTATCATAACAATGTAATGACCTGGCTTTTCTATCTTAAATCTCTTCTATAACATATTTCATATTTGTCCTTTAGACTTTGTGTACTGAAATCATTCCAAAGTTAGGGTTTCAAGTTTTACAGATGTATGTTAACATATTATATTTTAGTGGGTGTTCAAGTTCTTTATTAAAATGAATTAAATTCACTTAGAAATAAGAATCAAAAATTCTTTCTTAGGTTTATATAAATTATCGTAATGAAATATATAATAATAATTCATTAAAATTAATACTAAAGGAAGTTTTAAATATAGAACCTCAAGGACCTCTAGATATCACTATACCAAGCTAATTTCTGAACTATACAATGACTCAGAGATATTGAAGGACCTGCTAAAGGTGATCCCATCAGGAGATCACAAAGTTGATTACACTATGTTTATATCTGTGTGTATTAATGTACAAACATAATTATAACATATGCTTATATCAATACATATTATTTATAAAGCGAATGAATATAGAAGAATTACATTCTATTTATCTCTTGAAATATACAAGTTTACCTTGAAATATACAAGTTTATCACTTAATAAGCACCTCCATGTACCTATTATATTAGCTATTATTTTGGTTCTATCATCATTCTCTCACATAAACTTACTATGACAGTCATTTCCACTTAAAGATCATATAATCAGGACTCAGAAAGATTCAAATTTTGATATATAGTCTCTTAGTAACACCATTAAAACTCAAAACTAGGTTTGATGACAACAAAATCCAGCCATATTTCTTCTAAACTAAATCAAAGCTGCTTTTTTTTTTCATTTGTATTATAGGTCCAGTCCAACAAATGAATTAGTTTTTTGAGCCTCAATCAATGCATTGTACCAATGAGAAAATATAATCTGCTATACTAGATATTGTTTTCTTTACTCAGCTATCAGTAATTGATTATAGTTGAAAGTGACAATTGATTACATGTACTTTCAGAAGTCAAAAATAATAATTTTTTCTTTTATAATCCAAAAAATAGGACTTTGCCTTACTACAAGTTATCATTTCAGCAAAGTGGGCAGAACTGTAAAGAAGGAATTAAGAGGTAATGGTAAATTTCTCTTACACAGCAATGTTTGCATATAGTTTTCTGCCCTTATAAATTTATTTTTCTGTTACAAGCTCTTTATCCTGCTTTGACATTTTATATGATTTTTCCATTACAAATATTCCAAACTCTGAGAAATACTGAGAAATGAATCATAAAATTATATGATCCAAAATCTATAACCTAGCACTTTGCTTTTGTCTATTTCTCTTCCTCCTTCTCCAGATCCTTTTCATGCTTTCTTATGTATTTTGTCTCCAGTATAGGTTGCTGAGACATGTCATTTACCAAATAACCCTGGCAAGTCATTGAAATCCCTGAGCATTATCACTCGTCTGTTAAACTAAGTGAGTTTCATCATGCAGGATACTTGCAGTGTTTATTTGACAGGTTTGCTTCCTGGCAAAAAGTAGTCTAATGGTAATATTGGTTAACTCCCAACATCTATAATAACCAGATTATTAACCAAACCCATTGCAACTCAAAGTGTGGTCTACAGACAAGCATCATGAAAACTACCTGTCAGATTGTTACAAATGTGAGTCTAGAGATCACTCTAGACCTACTAAACCAAAGT